AATGTTATCACTTTTGTTTGTGTTCAGTTTATATAAAGGGTAATGTTCATGAAACAAGTGATGGTTTTCAGTTCTGTTTGTGTTCATGATTGATATTGGTATCGTAAGAATTTGAATCATGAAGTGTCCCGTTTGTTTTTATGCTTTTCAGGGTGCTTCATCATCTCAAAGACCGGAAATGATCTCACTCACACAACCAACTCAAACTAGCCAACGAATATCTTTGTATTTTGTTGCATAGTGGTTTATATTTTGTTTCAGATTTAATCGTTTGTTTTAGACTAAGTTATGGATGCAAGTTGTTACTTGTTTTAACAACAAAAGCAACCTTTTCTTGTAACACCACCAATCTAATCACAAAACACTTAACACCATCACAATTTTCCAAACATTATTCAAGCTAACAGGTTCATTCAATACATGAACATAAATTACAACAAAAACGATTTCAAACATAACACCATTACTAATTTTGAGAGCTTGACACCATCTCTGCTCGGCTGCAACATTCAAGATCGTGAGTCTTCAAAGCTTCCTCTACTACTTCTTTTGATGAGATCATGACCACATGGACGAAACCAAAAAGGAGAAGCATCACTGATCCGTATGTGTGAGACATTCTTCGTTGCTCTGTTTTTTTTTTGTTTAAATGGGAAATACAAAGACATCAATATGAATCAATTCTCTCGGCTCTCACAGATGAAATCCGATGAAGTAAAGAGTAAAAATCGATGAACCTTAACTCCACTTTTTCCACAAATCGATTTTGACAATAAACTTATTGCGACTGCTTTTATATTTCAATCGGGTCGGATCCGAGATGTGGGTTTGTGGACCATTGATTTCCACTAAACGCATTTTTATCTATTGATCACGATTTGGTGTTTGCTAATTAGAGAAGTGGAATTAAGTAGAATAAAATATATTGGGTGGGATGAAGTATATAATCGTGAGTTTAGGGGGTTTAATAAAGAGCTAAGTAGTTTAGGGGGAAATAAATAGAGTTCTATTAGTGGGGTGGTTTTAGGCAGTCATCCCTTTAATTAACTATAACATATTGATAGAGTTAAACTGATATTACTTGCTTGCATAAATTTTCTAATAATAAAGTATAAAATGATATTTAAACTTAATCCT